ATCCATCTTTAAGATGGATGCTTTATATACCTTTGGACCGCATATTGTAGAAATGCGGTCCAGCCCGCATAAAACACTTTTCCTTGTTCTTAACAGTGTTCTAAATCTAGGCTGAGCCCATGTGGACTGGGCCGAGATACTCGGCCTCGGCCAGCAGTTAAGGCAAGTTCCTATGTACTTAGTCAGGCCCAATAGAACATGTCCAGTACTCCCTCATTTTTAATCCAAATTCTTTGAAATTTGTCTCTAGTTAAACATGATTCAACCCTCTATAGGATCCCCATGTTAAATTGTTGGATCAAAGCTTAGAAATTGACAGATTTTGCCCAAAAATTATCTGTTTTCAGGGAGAAAACACACTCTTTTTTTTTTTAAATCCGGCCTTATCCACCAATGCTCCCTCTTTTTTATCTAAATCTATTGGAATTTTACTCAATTTGGACGTGATTCAACCCTCTATAAGATCATACTAATTTGTTGGATCGAAACCCAGAACTTGAAAGATTTGACCCGAAAATTCTCGGTTTTGGGGGGGAAAAATGCAAATTTTTTGTTTATCCTTTATCAGAATCCGCCAAATTCGTCAATTTCTTGCTTGTTTTTTATCCAGATTCGTTGAAATTTGGCTTTAGTTAAACATTATTCAACCATCTACAAGATCTCCAATCCCCATACTTATTAGTTGGTTCAAAGTCTAGAATTTCCGAGATTGGACTAACAAATTCTCGGTTTTAGGAGAAAAAAAATGCAGTTTTTTAGTTAAAACCTTTTCCAATCGGCAAATGCTTTGATTTCTCCATCACGTTTTAAATTCATCTTTGTTCTGCATTTGAGCCTTTTTTTTTCTTTTTTTTTTGAAGTTGTTTGAATGGGTTTCCTCTGCGATTTTTCAAAAAAAAAGTTTGCTTTTTTTTTTTTTTTTGGGGAGAGGGCCCCTACCCTTGGTAGGAATCGAACCTGGGAATCAGCATTCTAAATCTTCAAACGCTAGCCAATCCAGCCCGAACTCTTTTCTTTTTCTTGATTGAGCTTATTTTCCCTTGTATTCATACTTTTGTTTCTTTTCCCCAAACCCTTTGTGGACTGGGGCATAACTCAAGTGAGTGCGCTCAAACTCACCCAAATATCTTGGCTCAAACAAGGGCCAAGTCCCAAGCCCGAGCTGAGTTTTCAAACCTTGGTTTTTAAAAAATTTAAAACTCAATCAGTATATATCATAGTGATGTATTTTCTCCATTAAATTGTATGTATAAAGGGCTAAAATCATTCATTATTTATCATACTACTAATAAATTGATCTTCTGAATGCAGAATGTCAGCCATAGACTTCTACTGCTCAATTGAGAAAATGAAAGCGCCAAATGGAAGTGATCGTGTCGTCATTACATTTGATGGCAAATACTTGCCTCATGTTGAACAGGTTAGTAATTAATTTTGCTCTTGCAGCCATAATACGCACCTTTGTTCCGCCTCTTCTTATGCCATCAATACGGAGGGTTGCAGCATTATGGGCTTGATGGGAACAAGACCTTTTACTCAGCCTCTAATTGCTATATTGATTCGCATTTTCGGAAGGGAAATTTATAAAAGTATGCCTAACATTTGAACTATTTATCATTTTATTATAGATGTATTTTAATAAAATCAAGACCCATTTTGATATGCCATTTGATGGGCTATTTGAAATTTGATCAAAAGAAAAATGGGAAATTTTAATTACATAAAAAAATGGGTAAAATGTTTAATCGTTCAAGTCATTGGTGTGGTTTGATAAATTTCCCTTTTCCAAAGGAGACCGCAAAGCATAAAAATTTAGAAATGATTTTTTTAATTTCTTCAGAAAAGGGATATCATTTCAACTGAAAGTGTTTACTTTCCATATCATTCGATTCTTTCTTCAAAGGGAACTCTATGTTTAATTATTTGGATTCTTTTGCAGAGGGTTGAACAAATGGTTTCACGGGTGTCAAAATGAAAAGCTTTTGGCGACGCACGGACTAGATATACAATAAAATCTGTGCTTTCTTGCATATGTCTGGCATTCTATTTGCCATAGTGAATATGGAAGTGATTTTTATGAATGTGTGTATTTTATAAACTTTTTGCCCTGTATGGATCAAAATAAAGATCCTACAACTACCTAAATAAAATGTTTAATTTCATGGTTTTGAAGTTCTGCATCATGGAAAAAGCTTTTGCTGTTTGCCAAATATGGGTCTATCAAAAACTACATACGCATCTAAATCAACCCCCAATGAAGTGTACAGGATGAGCATGTTTCTTCCTTTTTACCTTCCATCTTACTTATCTGTTAAAATTTTCAAAGCTAAATATTTCAGAAGACATTTTCAAAAAGACCGAGCAGTGGATAGGAGATATCATCGTCATCATCATTCAAGCTTTATTCTAATTATTTGGGGTTGGATACATTAATTTTGTGCTTCCATTATTCTTCATGATTCATGATAAGATATAGTAACTGTTTACCTAATACAAGCCACTTTTTTTTTTATCTAGACTTAGTATAGGTTAAGAAAAAGTTTAATTATTCTTCATGATTCATGATAAGATATAGTAACTGTTTACCTAATACAAGCCACTTTTTTTTTTATCTAGACTTAGTATAGGTTAAAAAAAGTTTAAGGTCCTTACCCTTATTAGACCAAAAGGTTAATGAAAGACTTAATCCATCAAAGAATGGTTTGAGAGTTTGATGGTATATTCTCATTGTTCCCGTGAATATAAGAGATAGCCAAGGGATATGCCTTCTTAGTTTACTGAAAGGGTAGTGTTCATGAGGGCACCACCTTAGTGCATAAAAATAGATTTGAGCTCTTATTCTAGTGACTAATTTTGAGCCTCGACGGTCGATAACATGTGTTGAGATTTAAAATGGAGCAGATGACGCACCGTACGGCTCTAATTCTACTGTTTTTTATAATCGTGATATTAGTAATCACAAACGATTTGCATACCATAATCGAGATATCGATGGGTTGCCATATTTCTAGGCCCTCAAATCATTCCAAATATAAGGGAAAATATATATATATATATATATATATATCCATTATAGTTTATGTTATTACTAAAATATCAAATAGTTTCCGTTACTACTGGAATATCTGTTTTTTACTTCATAATGAAAGTTTTTAAAAAATGACTTTTGTACCGTTTTTCGGTTTTTGAACAACTGAAAATAAATAGAAGTTTCGAATTTGCATTCTTATTTTCAATTGTTGAGCAACCAAAAATGTCGTGTTTTCAATTGTTGAATAATTGAAAATAGAACTACGTATTCCAGATGCTTGTTGAAATATGCAGTCCTATTTTCGGTTGTTCAACATCCAAAAATGTTCTGAAAAACGAAAATAGGACGGAAGCTTGAAATTTGCATTCTTATTTTCGATTGTTCAACAACCGAAAATAGGACTGAGTATTCCAGAAGCTTAAATGAGCCCCGCTATTTTGGTTGTTCAAGAACTGAAATTAGCTTATTTTCGGTTTTTGAACAACCGAAAATCCAACCATTTCGATTGTTCAAAAACCGAAAAAGAGTAAAAAAGTATTTTTAAAAATTTTTCGTTATGAAGTGAAAAAACGGACATTCCAGTAATAACATAAACTAAACTACTTGGTATTTTGGTAATAACAAAAGCTATAACGGACATATATGTAATTTCCCTAGAAATAATGCATCTTGCATTACATTATCTAGACCGTCCATATTTAAGACTTTCATATGTCTATAGATCTATTTGATTTGAACCATTTTTGAAGTTTAAAATTTCATAATTAGATATGAAAATAAATTTTGAGATAATCCTAAAAAAAAAATTATACCAAAATTATAGTTTTTAGATAAAATTTGGAAGTGCCCCTTAAAGTTGGTACCTTACATAAACCACACCCTATTAATAAGGGAAATGTTTATATAGAGCCTAGGCTCTAAACAATCAAATTAGAGCCTACCTCAAAAAGTTCACTAGAAGAGGTTGTTTTGATGCCAAAACATCCTCAAATTGATCATCTTGACATCAAGATGCATGGATTTGAGAAAAAAATGGATTTGAAGTTTTAGAAATAGTGCATCCTGTAACGCATTTTTGGACTGTCAATTTTTAAGTAATTCAAGTTTTCATAGATCTGCTCGATCTAAGCTATTTTTGAAATTTTAAATTTTATAATTAAAAATAAAAATATATTGTAAGGCTATTTCTTATATTTATAGTATTGAAACTACATTTCTTGACACTATTTGAAGATGGGCTCTAATTTTATTGTTTAGAACGTCGGCTCTATACAAACCACACAGGTCCTCTTTGTGGACAACCTTACCTAAGACCACTTTAACAAACATTGAGAGAAACTTATAAGCCAAGTCACCAATTCTCAAGTCAGAGAAGTCTCTTAGAACAAAACAGGGAGGGGTGGCAATGGACTCGGACCCGGACCCAGATCCAACTCGAGAACCGAGGGATAGGTCCAATCTGGGTCTAGGTATGGGTCCAAAAATTGGACCCAGTGGGTTAAATCCGGATCCAAATCTTAGACTTGAACACTATTCGAGTCCAGATCCAGATCCAAATCCAAATCCAATCAACTCTGAATCCAATAATATTTTTTTGGGTTCTATGAAATATATTTAGATACAATTAAATATAGAAAAAGTTTATATAAGGATACTCCCTTATAATGTAGAACCATGAATGCCCCTCAAAAATCTATCGGAAAAGGTAGTTTAAATGTTGAAAAACCCTTCGACGATCATTCGGACATCGAGATGTATAACTATGAAAAATAAAAAGATTTTTAGTCTCAAAAATAGTACATTTTACAACATATTTTCTACACCGTCCATTTTTAAGATTTTCATATGTTTATAGATCTACTTGATTTTAACCATTTTTTAAATTTAAAATTTTATAATTAGATATAAAATAGATTTTGAGATAATCCTAAAAACATTTTGCATTAAGACTATATACCATGATAAAATTTGAAGGTGAACCTTAACTTTACACTTACAGATACATCCGTATGTAAACTGCACCCATTAAATATATAGATATTTTAATTTTTAGGTCTAGTCCAAGTCTTGATCCCGTATCATTTTTCTAGGTTTGGGTTCAGGTCCGGCCAAACCCAAATCCATGCCCAACCTGTTGCGACCCGAAAAACAGGGCTTGCTCACCCAACCATGGTCCTTTCTATTGCTTAAAATTAACTTTCTTTAGATAAAATAATATTTCAACTGAAAAAAAAAAAACAAAAAGTTCAAATTTTTTTTTTTTTTTGGAGGTAGTTCAGTAGTAGAAATCAAGCATTGCTTAACGTCAACGGCTAACCGCCCAAGTCCGAACTCAATTTCTGGTGTTTCCCAATCACATAGTATCGTATTTTTTCCTATCGATAATGCAGAAATTGGATACACATTTTGAATAGGTTTCGAGCAAAAAGAAACAACACCTTGCATATAATTAAGATCACTTCTCACTACATTTATAGGCGCATCACGCTAGCGGAACAAATATTACCCACCTTATAAATAACTAGCAAATGGCAAATAAGAACATGTAAAAAACCCTATTTTTACCATGTCTTGGATTGGAATAGCAACTATTTGGGAGAGAATATTGCCCTGTCATCACATTGAATATAGGCCTAAAAATGTTCAAGGTCACAACACCCCCTTAATGATTTGAAACAAATAATAAAGGCCATTATTATCTGAAAAGTTTATATATGGTTGCAACCTTAAAATGTGTACAATTGCACCGAAAAACATTTCTAATCGATCATCTCAACATTGAGATGTATGAATATGAAAAACAAAAAATTTGAATCCCTAAAATAATGCATCTTGCAACACACTATCTTAGACCATCCATTTTCAAGATTTTCAAATATTTATAATCTACTTGCCTTTAACCATTTATGGAAATTAAAATTTTCTAATTAAGTATGAAAATAGATTTTAAACCAATATTAAAAAAAATTTATAACAAAATTACATGTTACGATATAATTTCAAGGAGCGCCTTGATTGGATGGTTTACGGTTGCATCCTTACCGAAACCGCACCCTTATCTAATTGTTTGGAACATAAGTTTTATCAATGAACCAGAGGCATAAATGATGAGAAAGGAAAAGCTCTATCATATATGCTAAAATTGTTTACAAGCCTCTTGATACTCTAGCAATGAGAAAGGAGAAAAACAAAAAACGTTTTCTACTTTTTAATCATTAAGGGAAAACAAATCCTTAGGAGTTTGCAATATAATATGACACTTACCAAATGTCATTTGGTTTCAGATAAACAGTTAATAGAAACTGATCTTAAAAGACAAGACCATAATAACAGCACATGACACAAGCAACCACTCCTAAGACTAGTCATAACGATTCTCCCTTTTTTGTGCACCTCAATTCACATTTTAGAGCTTATATAAGTTTCTCACACTATCTCCAGAAAAACCATTTATATAGTTTCATAAAAGAAAACTAAGACTACAAATGGTTTGATTAGACCAATCTATCGCTGGTTTTCTCGGCGCCTGACATAACGGGTTCTATCGTTGTATCTTGGCCGGTCTTGAGCCCTTTGTGGGACTGGTTCCACTCTCCTTTGCCTCTCAGGGGTCCTCTGAACAATCTCTCCATTCACAAAAAGCTCCGCTGCACACAAAAACTCTCTTAGTTAGCTGAAGGGAGGGATATCACACGGAGTAATTTCTAAAGGGGGAATCTAGCTTCTCTCTCTCTCTATGCATTCTTGCCCAAAACTTGCACAAATGTTAAATGTTACATAATGTCCAAATGCAGAATGGGACACAGTCATGACATCTGCTTTCGTGATTATACATGTGATAGTACACGCTCATTTTCATGTGTCTTGGTTATCTACCGAAGCAACCATTTTCAAGTAACAAGAAATCACAAGTAAAAAATAAGAGTAAACCAACTATTGGTTTCATTCTAGCTCGCTCAATCAAGGATCATTAAAGTCCGATAAGAGTGAATAATGGCATGTTCGGTCTGAAACAAGAGAATTTAAGCCTTTTGCTCCACAATTGAATGGTAAGTATGCGCATCCAAACATAAAAAAGAGTCTATAAATAGAAGATCCACAATTCCATGTTCTTGCAAGCTTTTAACAGCTCACATTGTAGTTCAATGTTATCAATCATACTAATCTATATCTACATATGCAAAGTATTAAAAACACCATTGCCCTTTACAAAGCGGAAATAAAAAATGCCCTGGCTACACAAGTCATTTAAATAGAAAAGGAATAGTTTAGAAGGCAATGCAAGACAAGTTTATCAAAATGGGAGAATTCCGCTATCAAAAAGAAACAAATCAAATCAACAGTTAACTCGAGTTTAAATCCAAATCTTCAGCCTTAAATCATTGTTTAATCAGTAAAATACGAGTCAGAGGCTTGCAACATTATGAAGTTTTGAACTTGACCACCAGTTTCTACATTTACCAAAAAGAAATAAACAGGATAAAAATTTAAATTATTGCCCCAAGGAATCATGAAACATGCATAGAACCATCATACTAAATTTCTCAACAATGTTTCCCTAACCACACCAGATTAGAGAGCATTATAGAAGTCTCTAACAAAACTCTTGTATATCTTACAATTGCATTATCATTTATGAAAAATAAAAAAGAAAGTAATCAGCAAAGTCCAACCAACTACATTCTCCCCCCAGCAATCCGAAGTTGTGATGTAAAAAATTCTAACTCAAATTACATTCTGCTTTTATTAGTTTTGAATGTAGAATAACATTCCAAATTGGATATGATCCATATAAAATTTAGTAGCACTATTTTCCAAATCTTTGAAACTTTTCAAGGCAGAAGTCTTACACATCAATACATCTCTTGAAACGATCCATCATTAGGCATTCTTTTTTGGCTAAAATTATGTTTAGAACCTTGGGGACCATAACATAACAGATGGGAAACCTTTGCATGCAGAACCATCAACAAATAGAACATATGTTACCGTCATTCCCAAATATCTGTTCTAAATGGACAACTGAATACCTTAAGTCGTGATGTGACAAGTTAGCCTCTGACCACCTAATCTTGATTGTATGGCTTGGATTATTTGAATTTAATTGTTTTTCTACGAATCATCTCGACATGAAATTGAGCATGCGCAAGGACGCATCTAATAAAAATAAGAGTAAAATATTTCCGATAAGAAAAATGACTGAAACACCCCTGTAATTTTCAGAGGTATTTAGGTCATTTTGTTTTATCAGAAATATATATGTATGTGTGTGTGTATAGTTTTTGTTGAGTGCACCCCTATAAGGAAAGCACACCCAAAATTTCATGTCAAGATCATTTGTAAACTAAAAGTTAAAAATAAAGCCGCGTTAGGCATGACATTCTGACTGAATGAACAGCTGGGAGTAGCAGTTACTATGTTTTTTATGTGGGTAGCACCACATATAAAAGTTTCCCATATGAACATCAAATGATGAACGTCATTATCCCTAAAATTACAATGATTGGTGAATTTTCGAAAATATCGACCACAATGTGGAAACAATAATTTACTATAAAAATTATTAAATTAGCATCATTTTCTAACTTACAAATACTAAATTGACTGCTCTGACACCAAGAAAATATTTTTTTATTTTATTGTTTGACAAAAATCTAATTTTCTTTTCTAAACAGCATTAGAATATTTTCTTCACAATAAAATCTTAAAATAAACAGCATTAGAATATTTTCTTCACAATAAAATTTTCTTTTAAGATTATGGCCTGGAAATCGGAAAGCTTCAGAAATATTATTAGAGAAAAAAGAAACAGTTTCCTCAAATCATCGTTTATATGCATTGACTCAAACAATACTTCATATTGGATCAGATATCATATCCACTATGTTTTTAATGCTTGTTAAGTGATACTAGTAATCGGTTGGCAATTTTACATTTCTCATGAACCTTGGACCAACTCCATTTCCTTTCAGAGGTCTCATTCTCTAATATATTTGGCACCAACCGATTTTTTAGAGAAATTTGGAAATAGGAAAAATGATATCTTCAAGGACATTTGCAGAGGCAATCAGGCTGTCAAAGAACAGATTCCGAATCCATCCACCCACTACATAAAAAATGGAGATTCATCCTTTTAAAATAAAAGAGAAGTTAATCATTTAAAGAGAAGTTAGTCAACAAGCAATTTAACTGTCCTCAGAAATCACCACTACGAACAACACAATATGCATGCCAAAGATAACAGATACATGCATCTGTGTAACAAATTAGACCTATATCCCCATGCATGCATGATGCATTCAATTTTCAAAGGGTATAATGTTTCACCCAGATGTCGACTTGGGATGATCCAAAGCTTATACCGAGATCTCTTTGGTATTTATGACTGTTATCTCAGTCGGTTTTTCGCAATTCAGATGTTTTAATATTAAAATTGTGGTCGAAAGGCTGTAACGAGATTTAGTTACGAATATGGTATTAATTAAATTTATATCTAATTTAATTCGGAAAGTTCTAGTATTTTTTAAATTTACAGATGGTTTCATGAATTGTTTAACAGCCTAGAAAGATTCTTTGAATTAGTTAGGGGTCTAGTTTCTCAAAACCATAAAGGAAGTAGTTGTCTAATTTTGAAAGAATCTAAAAGAGTAGGAGGTTTAGAAAAGTAAAGATAACATGAGTCCTTAGCCAAAAAAAAAAACAGAGATATTCAATCCTTTATAAAAACCCATCAGGTAGGTCTATGGCTAGATCGATTCAATTTGAATAATTAGGCCACACTTGATTTCCAGGCTAAATTTCAATTTGTGTGTCTTTGGAAATTTATAACTGCAACTTGACCTCCATTAAAAACTTTATATCAATGTGTTGCATTAAAATCCCCAAAATATCTACTAGAACCCTAACTCTCCCCTTCTTCAAGCTTCAAATCATCCTATGGTGTTCATATTAGAAGCCCTTCTCCGATCACCAAACCTGAACTTATTATATCCAGGATAATCCAATGCTAAACCAAAACCCTAAGCATGATGTCCACAATTAACTAAAAAACTCCCTAATTCTAGCCCTTCTTTCTAATACCTCCACAAGTGTTACACTCGTGTAAGAGCCAAGCCCCTTTGGTCCTATATCAATGCATGCTCTTTCCCCAAAGGCAGTAAAGCATATCATTATATGCGTATATGGTATATATATATGTACATGCAAAATATTCGTTCCATTTCCAACTTACTGCTACCATCACAAATGTGATACTTATTCCTAATGATTTACTGTGTGCAGCAGCAAATGCAGATCAAGATCTCAGAGATAACTCTGATGCCTAAGAGAAAAGAAAACATACATAAAACTGAGACAGAAACACGCTTACCTCCATAATCCTTGTTCTCAACATCCACATATGAATCAGGAAGCACAAACAGAACACCCGGGATGCCTAAAAAAAACAAACACAGTCCCTTAAACAGAGAAACAAGGGTAAACTCCAACATCACAAACAACATGCCAATACAGAATCATGAAGTCCAAATGAAAGAGAAATTTTTTTTTACCAACCTTCCAACTTGTTTGCAGTTTCCTCATCAAGCTCGCATCCAAATCCAAAGTACCTCTCACAAGAAACATTATATATTTTCTTCTTTGCTTCCTCTTCACTGATACAACCAACAACGAAGGCATTAATATCATGCATACTAAAGTATGAACGTACATAGAAATTTGCACAATGTTCATGAAAATTTGGTCAAACAACCAGCAAGAAAAGAAAGAAAATCAATGATCAATTTCAGTTTTGTGTATCATTTTTGGATTTATTTTTAGGGAAAATATCTCCATACCCCCATATTTTAGGTTTCATTTCACAATAGCCCAAAGTTTTTAAAAATTTCGTGGGCATAAAAATTGTAAATTTTATTTCTTCTAACCCCCTAAGCTAATTCAAACCTTGTTTTTTAGGCTAAACAAATCTAAAAAGATATGCTTATTCTAAAAGCCATCCTCCCAAATCTCTCTCACCCTGCACCCCTTCTCTCTCTCTTTGTCTTTCCCATCTCTCCCCTCACTCTTTCTGCTCCCGCTCTCTCTCTTCACGTTTCTAGAGAGAGTGAGAGACGTAGGAAGAGAGAGAAAGAGAGAAGTTTGTGGTATATAAGTGAATAGAGAGAAATGATTGGGTTGGATTTTACAGAGGTGAGAGGTTTATGGGAGGAGAGAGAAGTGTTTGGAGAACACAAGAGGCGAGAGAGAGTGATAGATGCACGAAGAAAGAAAGATAGAAGTTTGGGGTATATAATTGAAGAGAGAGAAATGATTCAGTTTAGAAAGAACATGTCTTTCTCACATTTGTTTAGGTTAAAAACTAGGTTTAAAGTGGCCAGGGGTTAGAAGACATCTTTTGAAATCTTGGGTTTATCAAGAATTGAAACCTAAAAATATGGGATATGGAGATACTTTCCCTTATTTTTATCCACAAAGATTTCAAATTTGTGAGATTGATCATTCAACACTACTTCTCCAATAAAATTAAAATCAATCATTATTTTCCAGTTAAGTACAATTATAACTTTTTTTTTCTAGGCCTTTGCATTTTCAATCCTCTGCTACATCCCAATGACATTAGTCCCGCAACAAAGACAGAACTTTTTGATCAATTCATTTCAAGGTAATTCAAGGAATGCATTACACACAATAGGAATAAGATTATAAAAAAGTCACTGTATTGTATAGCAAAAATTTGGAGCCACATAAAACTACAAAAACTTTCCTGAAGTTTTCAAGGTTTGAAGAAATTCTGTTCTGTTCTGCTCCTTTCAATAAATATGCCAGACAAAAAGAAAATGAAGAAATCGAAAAACATAACTTTTAAAATGATGGCATGCGATAAATAAATAATCAAAAATTTTGAAATAACATTATTTTGATAAGATGAACAGTTCATTTGTTCAAAATGACCTTATTTTGTACTAGAACACTCATGCAAACAAAAAATATATGAGAAAACAATCAGCTCGCATATTGAATTGACATTCAGCACAATGACAGCCAGTCATGAAAAAGATGCTCTCAAACAGCTAAAAACACCACAAAAAAAAGCATCCAATACATCAATAACCATTATTTCCTTAATCAACAACAGTTGAAAGCGCGACTTTGGCATGCCATACCAATCACCCTGAACATTTAAGTAAAGAAAGCAAAGACATTTATTGAAATTTGTAAGTCTAAAGCACCAAAATCTCTCAATCTACGTTACAAAAATATCAAAAAAGAAAATAAAAATCTTAAAAACAAACAAACATATTCCCTCCATTCCGCCCCAAAAAAAATAAAAATAAATAAATATAATCTAGACCATTCCATTTTAGAGGCCCATCCCGCGATCAATAATCAACATTGATTTCAAGAAGACAATTACAGATATTTTAATCTTTAACCCAAACAACAATGAGAAAAGCTTGTAAGAACAAGTAAGCAAGAGAAACGAGATAAGCAATACAGAAATGATATATATATATATATAGAGATAGAGAGGGAGAGATTACAGATACGAGATAGAAATAATAGAGAGCAAGATACTCAAACAACAAATTGGTAAGAGACAGAAAATGAGAAATATACACTATAGAAATCATAGATAGAGAAATAAGATATACAATATAGAAATGATAGATACTACAGAGAGAGCACAGATAGGAGATAGAGATGATATAGGATGTTTACCTTCCGACAATTTTAGCTAGGGTTTGAACATAACATTCGATCATCTGTTGCTTAGTCGCCCCCTCACCGCCAGGTTTATCCATGACAATGAGCCAGTGCTCGTAGTCACAACCAGGAAACAGAGGAGCCATCTCAGTTGGTGGCCTATCGCTAAAGTTAGACGAAGAGTTCAGAGGAGAATAAGCAAGAGTCGCCAGACCTATTAACCCTGCATCTAATAGAGAGCTTGCTAACATGTGACGGAGGGGCTTGGACATGACAGAGAAGGGGACGAGAGGAGCGAAGAAAGCTTGAAGAGAGAGAAAGTGGGCGGAAGAGGAAGGTGGTGGAAGAGATGGCGGTGGTGGAGAGTCGCCTAGAGAGAGAGAGGACGATGGGACCTCGAATGAAGATGGCTCTTGATAGCGCTACAGCCATGGCCACTCTAGAGAGAGAGAGAAAGCGAGAGGAGAGAGGGAGAAGAAACTTGCTATCAGAAGGGGAGAGGGAACTGAAGGGTTTAAGAGGAGCCCTATCTCATGGAGTGATATTTCTACAGGGTTATATAGAGGAAGAATGACAGAAAATGCCTGACCTTTTGACTGAAAGACAAGATCACCCCTCCAGGTAGAGATGGCATTCGGGTCGATCAGGGCCACCCGAACCGGGTCCTGGTCCAAGTTTTGAACCCCACAGGTTGGGTCTATGTTCAAACGATTTGGACCTAGCTTGGGTCAGGTTAGTGTCAACGGCCTGACCACTGACCTGACCCGGTCTATAATAATATTTAATTTATATATTTTATAATATGTAAAATACTTTTTTATTTTTTATTTTTTTTAGACTCGGATCTATATCGTGTCAAGATCCAAGTGACCCAAACTAGATCCAAATCAGGTTTTGGTCTATATCAAACTTAGTTGGGTCGGATAGATTCAGATCTAAATCACCTGAAACGAATCCGACCCGTTGCCAGCCCTACCGTTAGGGAGGGAGGGAGAGAGGTGCTTTTGAGAGAAAGAATAAATCTTTTCATTCACTGTTTTTGGTTGAATAATCTTCTTTGTTCTTCTCCACCAGTGTTGAAGGGGAAGAGAAGATAAATTGTGTTAACCGTGGTGCATGTGCTGTTTTTTGTTTTTCAGGTTGTTTTTTCTTCTTAAGAATTTTATCAAATTATTTAGTAAAATGGATATTAAACACGGTTTTTATGTGGCCACCTTATATATGGTAGAAATACGGGCCTTATAATAATTTTTGTTTTTTAGGGATTATATGCAATAAGATCATTTATATTTAATACAAAAATATCATGTGATGTCAAATTTAATGAATGTGTCACAAAATTCGAAAAAAATTTATTTGAAGTTGGAAATTGGTTTATGAAATAAATGCAATTATCCAATATCACTTCTAATGGTCAAAATTAATTATAACAGCATATACCAAAGGTAAATGATATCATTGATTCTAATTTTTAGATAATATATAATTTTTAGGGAAAATTACGAATATATCTATTTTATTTTCTGCTATTACCAAAATACTTAATACATTCCATTGATATATCCGGTTTTTTGACTTCATACCATTTTTTTTAAAAAAGATAAAATTATCTATTTTCAGTTTTTGAAAAACCAAAATCAAGCCAATTTCGATTTTTGAAAAATCAAAAATTTTAAATTTCTGATTTTTTGATGACTAAAAATTTTCAAAAACAAATTTTTTATCTCTTTTATGGGTCCTCAGCATATTCTCTCTCTACCTCTCTCTATACAGCTATCAATTGGGTTAGTAAAATCCTCCATTGAACTAACCCCAAAATCCATAATCTTCAATGGAAAATCCTCCTCACTCCTGTTCAAGAAAAAGCAATTCTCGGGTTTCGAAAAAGGTGTGTCCAATTAAGTTTCACCACATATCACAAAAAGGTGGAAAAAAAACACGAAGTTGTGGATAAACCGAGAATAATGAACCATAAAATGAATATAGAAAGTGAAAAAAAAAGAATCAAAGGAATTCAAAATTCAAAATTAGACATACCAAAGATTGAGTCAAGTTCTTCAAGCTTCCTCCTACGCAATAAAGGCCAGTAACAGATTCCATTCTCAACAAATTTAAGAAAAGGAAAAAAATTAGTATGACATAAAATAATAAGTTAGTAAATTTTGTGCAAGAGAAGTAACAGGAGTATCCTCAAACCAAGTACATCTTCAAACGAAGAATCATGAAATTACAACATATTTAAATCTCTAAATTAGCAATCTCTAAAGAAACGTGGACTTGGTAGAGAGAGAGAGATGGAAGTTCAATTTTTTATTTGAATTACCTGCTGCAGGGGGAGAAGACACAGAAGACCTCATAAGAGAGAAAATTTTTCGGTTCTTGAAAATTAAAAATTAAAAATTTTTGGTTTTCAAAAACTTAAATTGATGTGATTTTGGTTTTTGAAAAACAGAAAATGAATAGTTTCATCTTTTTTAAAAAAAATTATTATGAAGTCTAAAAAACAAACATATCAATAATAACGTAAAGTATACGATATTTAGTAATAATGGAAACTAAAACAGATATTTACATAATTTTTCATAATATTTAACATGGAGATCATGAATATGATTTTTTTTAAAAAAAAAAACTAGAAATAATAATTATATTAAGAAAGCATTTGGTCAGTTAGTTATAATTGTTTTTAGATGGACCACCTATCTGCATCCATCTTTAAGATTAATGCTTTATACCTCTGGGCCGCATGTTGTAGAAATGTGGTCCACCCGGCATGAAACAATTTTTCATGAGTATTTAATATTTTATTTAATTTAAACATAATGTGAAAAAATGGTATGGCGTTGAACTTATATATTTTTATAATTTTATCTTACTAACACAACAAATAGAAGATATGCTTGGGAGCATATAATCTGCCATCTGAGAAAAATTATTCTCCACAAATACAAAAAATCAATGATTTTATGCTTATGTAGGAGTGAACTGTCTATTTGTTCTTGGCCAAAAATTAAGATAGGAATATTTTTAGGATCCCAAATATATGGAATATGCACTTTACCATCCAAAAATAATTATTCACACACACCTCTATGAGGCTGGATAAAATAACATCCCAAAATTGAAGGTATTTTGTCCAATTTTGGACAGCAAAATCTAAGTATCAAGGAGATTAAAATCCATTTTTAATTTCAAATAACCATTTGATGGTCTTTAAATCATCATTATTGTAGTTATTTTTTAACTAATTAGGTCGGCTACACTAATTTTGGTTACACAAAAAAATTTATGGTCTTTAAATCATCATTATTGTAGTTATTTTTTAATTAATTGGATCGGCTACACTAATTTTGGCTACACAAAAAAATGGTATGGCGTTGAGCTTATACATACTTGCAAAATTAAAATCTAGTCTTATATATTTTATTTTTTGTAATGAAGTCTCTTTCTTCATCATGTTTTTATTACCCCACAATATCACTAGGTTTACTCAAGCCAAATTTTTTAGCAAACAATGATTAGTTACATTGGGTTTTGCAAATCCACTTTTTTGAAGTAAGAGTATGAGTTTGGCATTTTAGTTCAAGAAACTACCTTTTAAGTGGAAATGGGGTTGAGGTTGTGGTGGTACCACGCTACATCCTAATCATCATATTATGGTTTTCATTTCTTCCACTAATACCGTTCCACTAATATTTCCAAAAAAGTTAATCTTAATCTACTTGAAAAAATAAATAGGGGCTATTTTTTTCTACTGAATTACCCAAAAAAAAAAAAACACATTTTAAGTGCAAATATGTTATACTCCTGCAGGACCAATAATGCAAACTTGCTCCCCAAGGTAAATGACTACTTAGGATGATTTTTAACATCTGAAAAATGAACCTATGTTTTTACTTAAGCCAAAAGAATATCTATTTATTTCCTCGACTAAAACCCAATCTTGATGTATTTATAGGCTGTCAAATTTTGGAGATATAATGGTCAAGGTCGAGATGATTGATTTGAAGGTTTTTCAAAACCAATACTACAATTTTCGGCGTGTTTTGATGAGGCTTTACTTTTGATATGACTGCAGCGCTATCAAAACATTTCCCATAAGGGATTTGAGCATTTTGTTGTTTGTATATAAAGAAGTGGCAATGAACAATTTAAAATCTCGCTTATTTATGTCATCTAGCTCGTGGACCAATTTACCGAAATACCTTTACTTGCGAAGGATTTTAAACTGAAAATAAAGGCACATTGGGAAAAAACAAAGTAGTTAAGAGTGCACTTCAGTTAAATGATTTTTTTCAAAGTAACCACTACATTGATAACTGGTTGATTGGCCTAGATTTTTGAAGTAATTTGACCAGTTAATTATGCAACCTGGATCTTTAGTTCTTTGAGCTATATACTATTTTAATAAGGTTTTGCCAAAACTTATACAATTGTCCTCACCATTTTATCAAAGGAAAAAGTTTATATGAGTTGCAACCTTAAAATGTAGAATTATACACCTCAAAAATCCATCGGAAAAGGTTGTTTTAATGTTGAAAAACCCACTAATTGATCATCTCGATATTTGAGATATATGAATTTGAAAAAAAAAAGATTTTGAGTCATAGAAATAATACATCTTGCAACACATTATCTAGACCGTCCATTTTCAAGATTTTCATATGTTAATAGATCTACTTGATTTTTACTATTTTTGGATTTAGAATTAGATATGAAACTAGATTTTAGATAATCCTAAACAAATTTTACACCAAAATCATATGTTATGATAAGATTTGGAGCTGTACCTTATTGTTTAAGGTTGCAACCTTATAGAAACCACACACTTTATTAAAAGCAAATATATATAATTATCATTGACTCTTAGATTTGAAATCTTATGGTTGAGGACATGTTATTGTTTAGCACAAAGCTCAAAATAAAATTTTTCAGTTGTTGTGACATACTTTATCTAAGGGATTTCACATCCAATGACTAAAAATAATTGTGAATTTCTTAACTAAAAATAAATGGTCTCATACAATCTCTTAAGATATTATTTCCTTAGGACATGTAGGAGTAGGAGTAGCAACACAAACATTAGTTTGTATGTCCAATCAAAACATCCCCAACTAAAGAGCTACTTTTTGTTTGGATTAAACAACTGAAGAAGCAATTAAAACCCGTGGGTCCTAAATAAATGGAATTGGTTAAATAATGTTCACCCAATTTGAACTTTGAAGTACGTATTTCTAGAGAAATAGAGAGCAGCCATTTATGAGTGTTTGTTTCCCACTCTTTGCTGGTCCTCCTTTTTAATTGTACAGTTCTCTTATTCATCTTCACTATTATCATCGTCTGGACCTTATCCCAACTATTTGGGGTTGGCTTTTCTCCTATCCTTCTTCTACACTAAAATTATCATTGAAAGAGAGAAGGATCATAACTAAAAATACGGGGACAAAGTCATCTCATGAAATAATACCTAAAGAGTTTTGAGGGCAAAGTATCATATATCATGAAAGACTCAAAATTTGTGTTAAGAGTTCTATACATACAAAACATGGCATCTAAGAACAAAGAAAGGAAAATTATTGAGGTTGCATAGGAGGGACAACATCCATTTTCACAGGACTAACATTTCCTTCAATAAGCAACTCTACCGATTGTTCATCAGACAAAATGTTGACAATTTCTGAACATTTCCCGCTACTTTGTTTTCCACATGCCCCCAATATTTTGCGTTCTTCATGAAGCTCATTCTCATCCAACAAACTTCTCTCCCCGTCCTCAATTGCCTCACAAGCATCTCGATGCGAGGACCCACGCTCCGACTCTTCAACACCCTCACAGCCATGGTCGATCATGGAACTTCCCTCTAACTCCTTAACTGCATTGTAAGAATCTCTATCCAAAGCACCTCCCTCCGACTCCTCAGCTTCCAAATAATCATCTGCTTCTATAGAACCTCTTTCTAGCTCCTCAACTGCATCAGAAGCATCTCTCTCTGAAGAACTTCTCTCAAACTCTTCATTTGCATCATAAGCATCTCCAACCAGGAAACTTCTCTCAAGTGAATCATTGGTATCTCCATTATTCAGTGTGTCAGGTTCGTCGATGCCAGACTCAGGTTTAAACCAAGGCGCTTGTCCCAAATTCCTCAGTTCTCTCAGCTTCTCGATAGCTTCTTTTGCAACTCTTTCAGCCCAACCGTCCTCTAGACCACTGCTAAAAAGCATGTGCTTGGTATAGTTAGAGAGACTGATGAGTAACCAGAGATCTTGAGTAAAAGATATTTGTTTAGCCAAATGGGCCTAAGGAAAGGCACGCTAGGGAGAATTCAAGTAAAGAAAATGGGAAATTAACAGGCAGTCCAAATATTACCTGTAGGAGTCCAACTCAGTGGCAGAGAACGCTCTTTCCAAACGAGTGATTTGCAACATCACAGACTGAGTTATATCACTTGACGAGTACCCTCCTGAATTTGAAAGTTCTAGCAAAAAGTGCATGTCTAAAACAAACTGTTACCAAAAAAACATAGAATAAAAAATGATCAGTTTTGACAGAGAGTTAACCAAAATACCATAAGGCTTGGTGAATTTGGAAAGAGATTAACCAAAATGATAGAAGGCGATCACAAACACAACATGTACACATACACACACACAAAAGATGGATATCTTCAATGAGTGAGCAGCATCAATTCTATCATCAATAAAGAAAATTCAGCAACATACTAAAGATTCAGAGACTTGCATACCTGTTTGAAGCCATTAGAACTCAATGTAACGGAGCCTTCCTCAAATTCCGACCAAATTTCATGATGATTAGAAACCCAAATTAGAAGGTTCTCCATTACCTTCCCCAATAACTTCTCCATCATCCCATCCATCCCAATAAACAGATCAACAGCAACTTCCTCAAGTTCAGAAAGTTCAACGAAAAAGGCCTGATCATGAATTGCTAGTAAAAACATGAAAAATCACATGCTACTTGACAAACTTAAAAAGATATCAAAGCAACCATTTCTATGACCCCAACAATTTCGTCAAAACTGGATAGCCATCTAGACCACACCTATGTTGATCTAGTCATGAACTTCCAAACCACTAATAGGATAGCCATCTAGACCACACACACACATACACAGACACGCACAACACACACACACACACACACACACACATATATATATATCATTTTCGACCACTACGCAACGCCTATGGGAAAAAATGAATAGTGTTTTCGCCCATAGGCTCGACGCCATCCGATTCTTTTGGATGGTGTGGATAAATTGACTGCACTGGACATTATACACCAAAACACGAGAAACCGTAACGGCTCTATGAGAGCTGTTGCAGAGCGAAACACTATTCATTTTTGCCTTATGGCATTTTTAAGACTTTTCCTATATATATATATATATATATATATAGTA